TGCTCTATTAGGTTACCTTTACCAAGTCATTGAATAGAGTCACGGGCACAAATTCAGAACAAATGCACCAATCAAAACTCCACTTCAAATTGTATTAAAAACCTACTCGAATTGAATTGTCAACCCTTTGACTATTTAAGATTTCCAATTCATTGCACAAGCATAGTTTTAAATTTAAAAACAATTGTATAATAGATGGGAATTTTAGTCCCACTTCATGTTTGTAGAGATTTATTTAGAAAAAAAATGTGAAAATAATTTTTTTTTTTTTTTTTGAAGAATGTGCTGTTAAAAATAAGAAAATATTTTGTGTTTATATCTAATATTATTTTACTAAAAGAATTTCTGGTTGAAAATGAATTTGATAAAAAAATAAATTTTAGAAAATGTGAGCAAAAGTTTGTTAAGAGCGTTTTGTCTCCTTGCTGCATTAGCCATTATGTTTAAGCATAATTTTCTCACGATTGCATGAAATATATATGTAGATAGCATTTACCCTGTCTTCATGTTTGCCACCTTTTTCATCTCCAATTTTCTCGGATCCATTCGTCTACCCAGCCTCAATTTTCTATTTCATCACACAAACCCAATTCTTATTCCCAAATTCTGAACTGAATTTCTCATAATCTTTCTTTCTCTTTTTCCAATTCGGATTCTGGGTTTTTCTTTTCAAGAATCTCGTGTAAAAATTGCGTCTAATGGATCGGCAAACATTGATATATAGCTTTGTTGCAAGGGGCACCGTTATATTAGCCGAGTACACTGAATTTTCAGGGAATTTCACCAGCATAGCATCCCAATGCTTGGAGAAGCTGCCTGCATCAAATAACAAATTCACTTACGATTGTGATGGCCACACCTTTAATTACCTTGTGGAAAATGGATTTAGTATGTTACTTTACCTTTGATTATGTAGATATTTAATTTTCATATCAATTTATGTTACTCTAATGCCCATGTTGAGTTGATGGTTTCTATTTTCATTTTGCTTGATTTGTATTTATAGCCCCTCTTTGACAACCATTAAAACATTTTTTTTTTCAAACTCATTTTCAACCACATTCTCCGAAAAATCAATATTCCAAGACTCATTTTTCCCAAAACACTCATTTTAATGGTTGTCAAACAGAGGCATATGAATGTGTGATTTTGGACGTATAACTTGAAATGGTTGTGAAAATTTTCATCTATGAATGTATAACTGGAAATCTTGTGAAAAATTTCTTGGTGAGTGAGGAAATGTGTATATATTTCAGTGGAAGGGAATTTCGTGGCATATGAATGTGTGAATTTGGACGTATATGAAATCTCAGTTGTTATAATGGAGATTTTCCGTTATGTTTAAAAGTATTTGATGATTGAAATTTGCATGCTTGAGTTTCATAGCTGAAAAGTAATGATGTTTATGCATACACTTGTGGAGCATTTGAGAGCCTCGACTCCCTCTTGAACTACTCTTCATTTTCTCGATCCTCACGGAATGAATCTCCCGAACTAATGTTTATAAAATGTTTATAATTGGTCAAACCACTTTTTATCCACATATTTCGAATACTTACTTTTACCATCTATTTATCAACTCCTTATTCTGTTTGATGCCTTGTATGTTTGAATTTCTGGATCATCTTGACTCCCCTACTTTATATTGTGTTTTATATAGCCTACTGCATTGTTGCTACTAATTCTGCTGGAAAGCAAGTTCCAATTGCCTTTCTAGAGCGCGTGAAGGATGATTTTAATAAGAGATATGAAGGAGGGAAAGCTGCAACTGCAGGTGCCAATAGCCTGAAAAAGGAATTCGGGTAATTGATTTTTCACCGTTTATAAGTGAGTTTTCAGTTTTTGTGGGCTCTGCCGAATTCTTGATGCTATTGTAGGCCAAAATTGAAAGAGCACATGAAGTACAGCGTTGATCATCCTGAAGAGATTGACAACCTTGCTATAGCCAAGGCTCAGGTTACGGAAGTTAAGGGAGTGATGATGGGAAACATTGAGAAGGTATAAAACGTTTCCTCAACATAAGAACCTTTTTTTATTCTTGCTGGTCATTACACATGTCTAATTCTATTTGCATTTAAAGGTTCTCAACCGAGGTGAGAAGATTGAGATTCTTGTTGATAAGACCGATAATCTCCGATCACAGGTTAGTCAGAGAACTGCAAAGGCCTAAATGATCTACTCATTTAACTCTTTATTCTACATGCTTACGATATTTGTTCTGGAATTAGATCATTTTTCTGGCTTTTATTGACATAGTTTATATTTTGTGTTTCTGTTCGAGTTTTAGGCACAGGATTTTAGGACACAAGGGACGATGATGAAGAGAAAAATGTGGATTCAGAATATGAAGATTAAACTGATAGTGTTAGGTGTCATCGTAGCAGTGATTCTCATCATCATATTTATAGTTTGTCATGGCTTCAAATGTTGATGTCGGGGCCTCCTCGGTTAGGAATAAGTTTGCTAGAGTGGTTGACTTAGTTTTGCTGTTCCTTTGGCCTATTCCCTCTTAGTCCAAGCTTCTCTTTCTTTTGGCCTCTAATTTTGATCTGATGTATCGTTAATAATGAATTACTTACGATAGAGAAATTTTGAAAATATTTGACTTGATATAGAAATCATTTTTTTTAGTGGTACTACACCTCTATCCTTGAAAGTTCTCACCTAAAATATAGCAATGTATCAAAGATTGGCACTATACGTAGCTTAATAGCTTAAAACTAGTTAGACAATCATTATTTCTTGAAGCTCGATCTCATCCAAGACGAACCATATAGCAAAGAGAAACCATGAAGTCGAATAGAATAACTTGCTTTTGAAAAAAGTTGCTTTAATGGTAGTCTTTACGTTTTCTCTTTCACTCGTAATGTGGGGAAGAAGTGGACAGGTTGGATGTTTAATTGTCTAGGCGGTAATGATAGTATCTATACCTGAACTGGTGGCTCACTTTTTCTAAATAAAGGGGAAGAGACAATTACTAACCTGGTTGTGTGTGTGTGTGTGTGTGTGTGTTATAATCCAATTTAAATCTTGGTAAGCCTATCTAGGTTCACCCATTAATACCAATTAGTTACCAAGTAAAGTTATGTAACCATGACCATGCATCGGTCTATTCGGAAATCTGCCTAACATACATGTAATTATAATCGGCTAAAGGAATTCTATAACAAGATAAGAACTGGATGCATACTACTTAGAAAGGGATACCTAAATACCTCAACTCTAACCCGCATTGTCCATCTCCACCCCATTAGGGAATCGAGGTAGGGACAAGACAAAGAACATGGTCCTCGCTTAGACTCTTTTTATTTTTTAGGCGTGTAAGTTCAACTTTTTTAAAAAACTAAATAAGTAAATAGGGAGGGAAATGTGGATAGTTTAACGAGTTCAAGGAATCATTTTTGAAGAAGTATACCCCATAAGTGTCCAAAGTTGAAAGCAAACAGAGTTTCTTACGTTGACACATGGCTAAATGTCATTAATTGAATATGAGCATAAGTTTGAAGACTTGTCTTATTATGTCCCTACTTTTGTAAACATTGAGAAGAAGAAGGCAATATGTTTTGAACAGAGTTTGAGGGATGATCTGAGATAGGCTGTAGTCGTGCTTAAACTAGGAACGTATTATAAGTGCTAGCAAAAGCAGTAGTACTAGAAGTCGGAGAAACGAAAGTGGGTGGATGATAATGGCAAAGGAAATTAGAACTTCTCAAATAAGGATAAACGAGATTCGTCTCAAGATGACAATAAGAATTTTTCGCGTTGTAACAAATGCCAGAAGCACCATTAGGGAGCTTGTCTTCTGGGAACGAATGTATGTTTCCAATGTGGAGAACGAGGAAACATCACCATGTTTTGTCCTAAGAACAAACAACTTGGGAATGAACAACAGAAACATAAAAAAATGTCCAAAATAAACAAGGGAATACAAAGCAGAAACAAGACAATGCACAAGAGTAGTAGGGATATACACCTAGGGGACAGGCAATGATCTTTACAATGACAGAGCAGGTAAAGGATCAAAATCGAAATGTTGTAGTAAGTAGCATCCTCATATCTAGCTTATTAGCCTATGTATTGATAGATTCTAGCACAACTCATTCTTTTATATCCTTTAAGTTCGTCCATAAATTGGGTGTAATGGTTACTGCACGTTTTTCCGTAGTAGTGTTTATTCCCTCAAGGAATACGTTAAACATTGATCACGTTGTTAAAACGACAATGATAGAAATTGATGGTAGATCATTGAAAATGGAGTTGTATGTGATAGACATAAACGAATTTGATGTGATTCTTAGGGTGGACGGGTATCCTAGAACCACGCAAAAATTCTTCACTTTAAGAAAAAAAGTGGTCTTTCTATGACCAAGAGAAGAGGAAATTTGTTTATCTATAACTAGAAATAGATTCTCTAACCCACGTCATTTTTGTGATGAAAGAACAATGGATCTTACAATTGAAAGATAGTGTAGGAATACTGATGTCGGTGACAAAAAATGAGGAAAATAATGAATTGACAATTAATGATGTTAGAATGGTACGGGAATATCCAAAAGCTTTTTCCTGGAAAATTGCCTGATATGCCGCCAAAACGAGAGGTAGAGTTCACAATCGATCTCATTCCCTACTTTGTACCCATATCTAAAGCTCCTTATAGAATGACATGAAAGAGTTATAGAAACTAAAAGGATTTATCTGGCTTAATGTTTCACCATGGGGTGCTAGTGTTGTTTGTTTAGAAAAAGAAGAATGGATCAATGAAAATGTGCATAAATTATAGGAAATTGAACAAAATCACTATCAAGAATAAGTATCATCTTCCCAGGATATAGGACTTGCTTTAGGGAGCAGTGGTATTCTCTAAGATTGACTTGAGATCTGGTTACCATCAATTAAGAATCAATGTGGGTGACATCTCGAAGATGGCCTTTAGAAATCAATATGGATTTTATGAGTTTTTAGTTATGCCATTTGGTTTAACTAACGCTCCGAGAGTCTTTATAGATTTGATAAATCATGTATTTCCACGAGTACCTTGATTTGTTTGTTATTGTGTTCATCGATGATATCTTGATATACTCAAAAAGTAAAGAGGAACATGAAGAGCACTTATGGATAGTACTGGGAGTTCTAAATAAGGAGAAACTTTATGCCAATTTCAAAAAATGTGAGTTTTGGTTCGAACAGGTAGCATTCCTTGGGCATGTTGTCATAGCTCGAGGCATACAGGTTGATATAAACAAAGTAGAGATAGTGTTAAATTGGTTGTAAGATAAAATCATATTTTTTTGGACTTGGCAGGATACTGTAAGAGGTTTATTGAAGGATTTCCCAAAATAGCATGACCACTAACATAATTAACACATAAGGATGCAAGGTTTGATTGGATAGACATGTGAGCAGAGTTTTGAGAAACTAAAGCAGAAGCTAGTGAATGCTCTAGTATTAACTATACTTGAAGGATCAAAGGGATTATGATGTGTCTTGATGCAGAGTGATAAAGTGGTCGCTTACGCATCAAAACAATTGAAGTCACATGAGCAAAACTACCCTACGCACGACTTAGAACTTGCTGCGGTACTCCATGCATTAAAAATTTAGAGGCATTATCTTTTTGGAGGTAAGTGTGACATTTATTTTGACCACAAGAGTCTCAAGTGCATCTTCATTTAGAAGGAGTTGAACATGAAACAGAGAAGATGACTCAAGCTGGTAAAGATTACAATTACAACATTCACTATCACCTAAGGAAAGCAAATGTTATAGCAGACGCCTTGAGTCGTAAAGTGACAAGTCAAGTGGCGGCTTTGACCATACAAGAGCCACTATGGAAAGAATTAGAGAGATTAAACCTCGAAGTGGTTACAATACTGTCAAGTGCTATTGCTTAGATGGTTGCATTTTAGATTCGACCAACACTCTGTGACAGGATTAAAGACCATCAGAAAGCCAATCAGTGATTGAATTCATTAAGTCAGAGATTGATATAGAGAGGCGAAAGGATTCCGCAAAGGATTAAGGACAAGATCTCGTATTATTAAGGACGCTTGTCTATGTGACTTCAAGGAGTTAAAAAAGGAAATACTAGAAGAGGATCACTCCACTCCTTATTTAGTACATCTAGGAGGTACAAAGATATACCAAGACCATAAGTATTTTGGTAAAATGGCATAAAGATGAATATAGTTAAGTATGTCGAAAGGTGATTAGTATATCATCAAGTAAAAGCTGAACACCAATGACCATCAAGGTTACTTTAACTATTAAAAGTTTCGAAATAGAAATGAGATCATGTAACAATGGACTTTGTGGTCGGTTTTGCAAAGTCAATGGGGGTAATGAGGCTATTTGGGTCATTATGGATCGACTCACCAAATCAGCTCATTTCTTGTCGGTTCGAATGACATTCTCAATGGATCAACTAGTACAGTTGTATGTGAACGAGGTAGTAAGGTTGCATGGTGTACCTGTTTTAATTGTATTAGATAGAGATTCAAGGTTCACATCGAACTTCTAGAAAAGCCTACACCGAGCTATGGGAACTAAGCTAAAATTTAGTACAACTTTTCACCCTGAGACAAATGATCAGTCTAAGTGAACAATTCAAACAGTGGAAGATATGCTTTGAACATGTGTCCTCGAGTTTGGAGGATACTGGGAAAAACATTTACCCTTGATTGAATTTGCATAGAACAACATCTATTACACCTCTATTGGCATGGCACCGTATGAGGCATTATATGAGAGGAAGTGTAGATCACCAGTTCATTAGGATGAGGTCAATTAGTGAAAGATTTTAGGGCCAAGGATCATTGAACAAATAGTGTAGGCTATTGAGAAAATTTGAGCTAGTATGAAAATTGTCCAAGATAGACAAAAAAGTTATGCTAATAGAAGAAGGAATTGGAATTTTTGGTAGGTGACAAAATATTTCTCAAGGTTGAACCAATGAAGGGGATATTACATTTTGGTAAGAAAGGAAATTTACAACTAAGATTCATTGGTTCGATTGAAATCTTGCAACGTATCAGAAATGTCCCGTATTTGTTGCCTTTACCACCAAAACTTTCAACTGTGCATGACATCTTTCATGTGTCAATGCTTTGAAGTATGTTCCTAATCCAAGTCATGTGGTCAACCATCAGTCCATTGACTTACAACAATGTTTGAACTACGAGGAAATACCAATAAGGATCATTAATAATAAAAATAAAATAAAATTAAAGCACTCAGAAATAAGGTGATTTCTTTAGTAAAAGTCCAATGGCAAAATCACTCCGCTAAAGATGCAACTTGGGAGAGAGAGGTAGAGATGTGAGCTAAGTATCCACAAATCTTCTACAAATTTCAAGATAAATTTTGAGGATGAAATTTATTGTTGTTCATCCACTTTCTTTTTTCCATTGTCATTCAAATATTTCTCATTACAAACAAGTGAATTTCCAACAATTTTACACCTAAACATTCTGAAATTTCTAAGAACTTTTTTGGCATACTTCA